CCCCCCCCCCGGCTCCTGGGGAGGGGCAACCTGCATGAGCTGCTTATCCAGAGCCTGGGGAAGAGGAGACCATGGGGTGACCCATGGTGACCTGAGGGCAACCGTAGGAATGACAGAGCCAAGCTCTTCTCAGGGTTGGACGCCATGCCGCCCTGCCCTGGTGCCAGGCCCAAGCAGCCTATAGCCCCCCAGAGGTCCCCTCCAGCCAGCATGCCTTGCTGCCACTTGGTGTGTAAACTGGCACTCCCCAAAAGAACCAGAACCCACCCAAAAAAACCCCTGTGCATTTCCATGCACCCAGAGGGTAAATCAGACCTAAAGAAAGCCCCGAACAGCTGCAAAGGTACTTGATCTTTTATTATTGACAGCAGGTAAATACAAGATGCTGCCAGGCAGGAGGGCAGGGGCTGTGCCTCTGCGAGGGGCTCCCAGTGGCCAACAGCTGGGACCAGGGCAAGCACAGCAGTGAGAGGGCACATGGGCTGAGACCCTGTGGGAGATGGAGCGGCAGTGGGATGGGGAGCAAGGGCTCCCCCAGCCCTGGGGGCTCCCCCAGCCCTGCAGCTCCCTGCCCAGGCAGCCCAGCACCTGGCTGAGCAGAGACTTCGCCCAGCAAATGCCAAAGAAGGGAACTATTTTGGGTTACAAAATGAACAAACAAAAGCCATCTACACGTATTTACAGTGTCCCACTCCCACCGCCAGCTCGCTCCAGACATGAGTCAGGGCTCAGGGTGCGCCCTGCCCCCCCAGAGAGGTTGCAAAGGGCAGAGCCCCAGCCGGAGGGGACAGTCCTCAGCATAAGTGCCAGCACCAGGGGCTGCTGGAGCTGTGCTCGCAGCCCCGTTGTACAGCAGGATCCCCAAAGGTCTGGGAAGATGGTCCCAAGGGACAGGACATTCCCATGGGACGTGCACCTCCTCCACCAAGTCTCTTGCTGATAATCTTTAGCTAAAAACCTCATCAGGAGGACCACGTCTGGACCTCCTCCGCGTGGGAAGGAAAAGCAGAAGCAAGGTTACAGCAAAGACGAAGGGCGTGGTTCTGGCCTGGGGATCGATCTACAATCCGCCATAAAAAAACAGCTTGAAACAAAACCCATCATTTACTCTTTGATTTGTACAAAATAACAATAATAACAATAAAAATAATAATAAAAGGTGCTGGTGGCCCCTGGCTCGCAGTGCCCCACTGTGGCAGGGGGTCTCAGTAGGCAAAGATGACATGGTAGGTGACTTGGTGCCCATTGTCCCAGGCGTAGAGCAGGCGGTCCTTGGGGTTATAGTCTATCTGTGTGGTGTAGGCGTACTCATTCTCAAAGAGCAACCGGGGGATGATCTGCGTGTTGGTGTGCGTGTCAAAGGCATAGGAGATGTTGGCATTCCTCTTGTTGTAGCTGTCGACTGCGTACAGGACCCCGCAGATGACAAAACAGTTCCCGTAGAAGTTCTTCCGCAGCCCCGTCCGCCACGTGGTCTCCTTCTGGGTGCTGAGGTCAGCCGCATTCAGCTTGCTCAGCACGATCACCTCCTGGTTGAATCCTTCGTAGCTGATGGCCGGGTAGATGACCCACAGGCCGTTCTCATCCACGGCGAAGTCAACGTCCGAGTGGCCCCGCCACCGCCACGGGGTGGACTCCTCATAGGCCACGTCATGCAGCATGGCCCAGGCGGCCACATACCGCTGCTTCAGGTCATATTTGATGATGTTGCGCGTGAAGGCCCGGTTGTAGTAGCCCCCCCACCGCCACGGGGTGGACTCCTCATAGGCCACGTCATGCAGCATGGCCCAGGCGGCCACATACCGCTGCTTCAGGTCATATTTGATGATGTTGCGCGTGAAGGCCCGGTTGTAGTAGAAGGAGCCGTTGTAGACAACGTGCCCCGTCCCAATCCAGCTGTACGGGAGCTTGTAGGAATTGCTCCAGCGCCCTGTGGGGCAGAGACACCTTGCTGACGAGACCCTCCCTTTTACTTTGGGGTTGGTGGCCCCGCTGCAGCAGCCCCCAGCACCCTCTGCCCCCCACACTGCCTGCACTCCCTCCCAGCCACCAGCTGCAGCCTGGCATGGTGACAAGCAAGTACAGGTCACCATGGGCAGCCCGACCTGCCCCATGCTCTGAACTCCACACGCTGGGTACCAGTGCCCAAGAGGGGAGGGTCCCTGGGCAGAGCATCCCCCCATGGTGCAGCATCCCAGGGAACGGGGACACTACTTGGACCAGCCAAGCAGCAGCTGGCGCAGCATCGAGGATGGCGCAAGCCCACCTTGCTTGAAGTTGTCGAGGTTCCTGAACTCCACCAGCGTGTTCCCATAGTAGTAGTTGGTGACGTAGATCCGCTCCTCCTGGGCCAGGGGGTCCTTCATCCAGGCACCCTCATTGCGCCCGTAGGTGTTCTGGGTGGTAGGCCCTGAGATGGTGGACAGCGTGTCCTTGCAGCGCCCTGTGTGAGCAGAGAGAGGCTCGTGAGGCCTGAGGCAGGGCAGCCACACTCCCTCCGTTCCTGCCGGGGGTCTGTGGGCATCAACCCCCCTCCAACTCCTTGCCCACCCAGCAGGTACCCCCGCTGCCTCAGCCTAGGCTCAGCCTCACAAGCCCCAGCAGCACCAGCCGGATCCTGCAAAGAGCTCCCCATGGCCTCAGCCATGTCCCTGCCCTGACCGAGACCTGTCCCAGGTCTGTCTCCAGGGAGGCCCCTTCCTGCCCTGCTCCGCCCTTCAAACTCGAAGGGAACTACAGTAGGTTCCAGAGTTAACAAGCAAGTAAAATCTGGTGCCCCAGTAAAGCACTTGTCCAGCCATCATCTCCAAAACACCTCCCACCTGTGACCAAATCCAGCTGTGCTGTGTTTAGCAGGACACGCTGTGGGCACAAGCCAGCCCTCATGCGCACAGCTGGATCGGTGCAAGACCTGCAGGCACTCACCGATGATGTTCCTGATGTCCTCCTCCTCCAGGGCCTGCTTCGGTGTGGCAGGGATGGTGGGGCTGACCGGCGTTGCAGGGGTGCTCACCTGTCCCCAAGCTCCTGGGCTGCTCTCCAGTGCAGGGCTCGTCCCCACGTCACTCGAGGTCCCGGCAGTGGTGGCCATGGCAGGGCTGGGGACAGGGCTGGTGGCTGCGGGCAGGGTCTCCGTGGCTGTGGCCACCACTGTGCTGGCCAAGGCTGCCGGTAGCTGTGGGGTCCCCTCCTCTACCAGCCCCGCCGG